ATATATATGTATTATATGGATGACACAGACGTTTCCAAATGTTATTTCTGTAAGTAGAAGTTGGACAAGAGCTATTTGAATTATATAACGCAGAGTGATTTCAGTAGATATTACGCTTTCTTTTCTAATCATTATAGCTATCAAAATCACAGAGGATTTTAAGGACTCAGAAAAAGAAATTGTTATCAAATGGAAATACTTTTGTTTGAATTTATTTAGAAAATCAAGTGCTACAGAAGCTGTTGAAGTCATGGGAGATACGGAGTTTCAAGTTGCGGTTACAAAAAAAGATGAAGAGGAAAATGATCAGGATAGAAAGCGAACTGAACGTGGGAAGCTTATGCAAATGCAGAAAAATTGGTTGGAAGCACGAAAAAGAATCGCTGCTCTGGAGGCACAAGTTAATATGGTAAATGATTAAAGCTAAGAAAATTCTACTTGGTATAATGAGATATCAGAAAAAGATGGAATTATATTGGAGGTCCACGTATTGCGAACAAATTAGCACGTTAGACGTTAGTAACATGCGGCGGTTCGTGGAGCTTGTTTAATTTACAGTCAGTTTATTAAAACTCGTAAAAATTATGAACCTAGACAACATTGATCACGCTTAAATTGTTATGCTAGCATCGACTTCGTGAAGAAGCATTGGTTTGTGAAATGGTTGAATTACGCAAGAGTCAAGAAGTGAGTCGGACCAAGTTCGATGAGGAGCGCCGTGAATGGCTCCGCGATGTGCGAGCAGTTCAGGAAAGTAAAGCGCAGGTATTACTATAAAGATTTTTATGTTTATTTTAAAGACATAGAACTTTCAGTTGTTCTGTTCAACTTTTGCAAATACTTTGGGTTGCTGCACATTCTAATTTATTTAGTCTAATTTTAAGGAAAGGTACAATTTGGATGCTTTATTTTAGAATATTGATAAAGGCAAGGCCGAGATAGATTCGTTAAAAGCAGAAATAGCGGAATTAAAGTCCTCCTTGGATGATGCCGAACGAACCCGTCTGTTTTTGTTGGAAGACAATGGTAAAATAAAACAGCAGAAAGCAAAATTAAGGTTTTGGTCTTATTTTTTAATAAGGGATGCCGATCATTCAAATTATGAACTTGAGCTTTTGTTATAACCAACGCTGTTCAGTACTTCTTTTCAGCTATAAAGCAAAATATTACTTTGGACTATAAGTTTTAGATATCCTGAGAAACCTTTATAGATAGAGATATATTGAGCGATTATTCTATTATAAACTGAGGCTTAGATTCATAAGGTTAGAAATGTGGATTGTTTTATTTCCATTTCAGACGATATCAATATATAAATATTTAGATGCGATTACAATGAGCTGAAGCGTGAACATAATAAATTGCTGTCCTCCCAGCAAGTTGGAACAACTTCTGTATGTTTTATGCAATTTTTTTATTCAAATATTTTAACATCTAGTCAGAATTACTAACAGATTTTTGTTCGGTCTTCGGCGTACCAAATCTAAATGCTCAATGTGTAATAATTGCTTCTTATGTTTGCGTGATACTTTTTAGAGAACAAATGAAATTCTCTGCGATAGAAGTGGAGCAGAAAACATTCCGAGTAGAGATAATCAGAATGGGCTGCGAGGTGGAAATAATTCTGGAAATGCTGTTCTCGGTTTGTCTAAGGTAAATTGTTGCTTGCTTTTGCCATGTTCCTTCTACTTTAATTGCGTTATTTTTTCAGACATGCAGTATATGCATATCACCAGTTTTGTCAACACAATCAAATAAATCTAATGTTACTAGTTTGGAAACAGATTTTAAGCGTAACGAAGATTCAATGACCACATCTGTAAATATGCAGGTATTGTTAGTTTCTGGAGTTTTGTGTCAACGTATCAATTATTAGGTTAATTAAAGATATTGTTTTAATGATTGGTTTCGTCGGCTATTCTGAGAGATCATTGTTTGAGCAAATGTGGCATGCGTAGCAGCAGTATCTATAGAAGACATTATGACGAATGTGCAGACATGTATTAAGTTCTTTTTATGAAATGATTCTGTTAGAGTCCTTTCGAAAAAAGGTTACATTTCACGATTCAGGAAAGTGTTCTTATGAGCAATGTAAACACAGAAGAAAAAAAGTTAATCGAAGAGCTTATCCAGAAATTGAAACACTCAGATGAAAGGAATCAAGAATTGCGGAAGGCACTGCATACTGTTGATCAGCAATGTGAAAAGCTTGTGGTACTTTGCTTTTTTATATTTCTGTTCGTTCTAGTTCACAACCACTGGTATATTTTGCTAATATCCGGTTTCAAACGAATAATGCTTTCAATGTTTGTTGTTGTATTTTTTGTTTAAAGGCAAAAATAGTTATAGGAAAAAAGCAAATTACTCAGCTGTGCCTGGAGTTATTTTTTCTAGTATTTATTTTATAAATCATATACGTCATCATTGCAGAGAAGTTTCCAGGAACTGAAATTACGATATGATGAAAAAGCACGCAATCTTGCACTGAATACATCGATGTCTTGCGTAGCACTACAAGGTAGTAGCCAGTGTGAGCGACCAGATCTCGAAACAGGATATTCTGCAACGAAAAAGGATCACAAGCTCTTATCCCAGAAGCTTCTAGTAATTGTGTAGTTGAATATTCTTTATTCTTGCCAACGCAATTGCATTTTGCCTTCAAATGTATTGCACAAAGTACTTCTGAAAGCTGTCGGAGGGATACTGGTCTCATAATTACCTAGAGCTCTGCTGATAAAAATCTAATCAGCATAATTTCGCTTCTTATTTTGATATTGAGTTGTAGTCGTCCACCAGCCAATCTACGCGGCTTACTGTTTTCATTTTCCTATCTCAGTCTTTTTTCAGGATGACGGAGGTTCTGCACCGAATGCAGTCAAACGCAAATGTGCTCCATGTCTCACTGCCTTCGGTAAACGTTCAAAAAACGATCTCTACTGAGTTTATGCAGACATGATTTGCCATTGTTCTTCTTTTTATGTTTTTTATCATTTTTAATTGCTTATATTAGTTGTTGCCGAAAATGATTTTGGACTTTTTTTTGCATAACTATGAAATTGTTATCGATGTTTAATAGTAGAAAATAATATGCCTTAGCCAGTTTGTATAGTTCTTTCCCAATATGTATTTTACTTTATACGTGGTTGTGCTATCCTTAAGATAGTTTTTGTTTTTCGCATATCAATTTTTTTGAAATGCAAATTGTTTAATGAATAAGGTTACTCCTATCACTATTGTGATAGGAGATTTCTATATTTCCTGTGTACCCCACTATTTCCGTTATCACTGTCGTTCATTTCATCCGTTTCACTCATGAATCGCATATTCAGCTATTGTACACTCCGACGTACAAATGAACATTTCGTTGTTTACATTCAGTTCACTGATTGTAGTTCATTTGCTTACCTCCGAATGTTATACTGCCGACAATTATGAAAAAGTGTGCTGGTGAATCGGAGAATAAAATCCCTACGTGTGCCTACAAACTGCTCTACTACAAGCTAAGATTTCCTATTATGCTTAAGTAATGTCGTTGATCACACAATTCAGACTCCATAACTATCATTCAAAACTATTGCAGATTACTCTGACAAATCGAGATGGAATCTTCAAGCACCCTTTGGTATGCTGATTGTAAAAATTTAATAGACATATACAAAAGCAACAGCTAAGTGCCCAAGCCCACCAACGGAATTTTGCTTTCAAATTTATTGTGTCTTAAGACGACGCATATTTTAATAGGCTTCCAACCGCTCGTTTTTATACGACTCAAGATGCACCGATTCTTCTGTTTGATAAGTTCTGGGTTATGAGCAGCAATGCTACAAATGTAAAAAATCAATGTAAATTGTTCAAATCGAATATATTCAGCATTTATCGCTGTTAAAGAACGCAATTTCATAAAAAATTTTCCACAGAACATGTTTTCATTTTCACAGAATAGATTATGTTTTGAAAGTCATTTCTAAAAAGTTTGGAGTAAGGAGGGGGACAACCGAAAGTAAGAAAAGATTTCATAAAAGACAAGCAATAAGGATAAGGAAGATAAAGGTAATAATTATCGAATAATTGGAATTTAACTCCATCTGCCAAGAAAATTAAACAAGAACAGAAAGATGGAATGGAAGGAAGTGTGATGCAGCACATCAAGAATTTTTCCATTGGACGAGAGGATAAAGAGACAAACAATTATTGTTGGGAAAATTCAGGAAACAAGGGGTTGAGATGTAAAGGAAAATAAGAGCGATCTGAATATCTTCGTTAAAAAATGTTTCGATCTAGATTAAAGATATACTTAAAGCGGTACTATTATACATGAAAGAAATAAGGTGCAGAAGTGATGGCGTGGGAGAAGTTGCATATCATCGTGATCAATAAGGTTGTACAAAGCGTCAGAGTCTCACCACTCCATATGTTTATCAAAACAGTACATGCGTGGGAACCAAATATAGAACAGGAAATAAGGCGGTAAAAAGGGACTGCTGAGAAAAGACCATAAATTTGAAGGTATATGCAAGAGAAAAAAAAAACAAAAATAAACATCCACTTAAACAAATGAGTTCGGATTTGCTTTAAGAATAAGAGTAAAACAGTACAACTGTACAGGCGCGTAATTAGGCTCACAAATAAAAGTGCAGAGAAAGTCAGATATCGTCATGATCAGAACCTTCCTGGCTTTCTGCACCAATATCTTCGTCACCGGTTTTGCTCGTTCCATCATCTTCAGTTGTATCAGCTTCACCAGTGATAGTATTTTCTACTTCAACCACATCATCACTGTCTTCACCTAGTTGTTCAGCGGACAATAACGATGACGCTTTAGCCTGCCGCATGCGGAAGAAATTCTTCGGTCGGTTGAGTTTCATGGTGCAAGGTGACAGCATGTTATCGCTTGGCGAATAAATCTAAACATGAATAATTTTAAGATAATCAAGCAAGTATAATGAAAGAATAATTTGCTTTTTTACCAAATATTATTAACAAAACTTGATAATTAAAACTAACCATGTCGATCCAGAAATCATCTCACTAGCTCATTTTCTCTTTTCACTTCTCTCATTCTTTTTACTGCCCATTGAACAATCTTAACCTTAATGCTGCAGGCAGTAGAAAGCTCCCTGTACTCGTGATTTCGCAATTGTGCTTTTCACGTTGATATGGATATCTTTGACCTTAATCTTATGAAGGAATTCGAAATGGACGACAAACTTACTGCCATTCGTTTGCGCAAGGTGGCGACACGATCTGCTTGTGAAAAACATGGCGTCTTCTGAAATGCGCAAACGCAACAGACATGTATTAAAAGATCATCGGACGAATGTCTGTATTCCAATGAAATTTTCAACAAATCATAAAGCCGATGCTACATAAACCATAGTTGACTACATGGCTTCTAGTTACAGAATTCATTTCATTATAATTTTAGATAAACAGTAATTAAGAAATTTCTCTTCAAAAAACCCGAAGATTGGTTTATGTTTTAATAAAAAGAAGATTTTGAAGTAAATTTAATGGAGATTAATGAAGACCTACAGGTCCTGTGCTGGATTCAGGTAGTTCGGTAAGATTCAATGGACTGATCGGGCGAGCATGCTCAAGCAAATCATTCGACTCATTGTATTCGGTGTTTCCAAGTGAACGTCGCGACGAGTCCGACGAATCCGTAACGTTCTCCAAATCCTTGAGCAGATCTCCATGACCTAAATCAGGTTGCGCCACCTCGTCGTCGGAATCAGAATCATTGCCTCTGAACTTTGGGATAGGAGTGAGACGATCAGATTCGGCCGGAGGCGAATCGCTTCCATCGCTATCGATCTCAACAGCATCGCCAGCAGGGAAATCGTCATCTGATTGTTCAGACCCTTGCGAACATACCGTATTGAGATGTTTTCGCTGACGAAGCATAGCTTTCCACTCAGTTCTCGTCATCTTTGATGGTGGAGGAGAGGTGTCATGTTCGCCATCCACAACGTTCTCAGCGGCTGCATCTTCAACTGGTGTAGACATTGTCAACTAGAACAACACCGTCGAGATTTTAACGATTGCCTGGAATGTATGCTGTGAAAGCTGAACTTGAATAAATATTAAGAAAACAGCGGAGAAAGCGAAAATGGGATAAATTTTCTTTATTATAGTTTAAGTCGATCCAAGCAAATGTCTTATCTAAAGTCACTTCCAACAAACTTTAATTCAAAAACTCCAGACATGTGAACTTATCACATTAATGGAGGATGAAAGCTATCCCTAATTGACCTTCGGCAGACCTGTAACCTTTTCCACCTATTCCTCAAGAAAAGGTCATTAGGTCCCTGAATTTCAGAAAACTATCAAACGTCAAACGTTGGACGTCCGATAGTTTTCTGAAGTTCAGGGACCTAATGTTGGAAATCTCAAACGCTGGAAATCTTCATATCACCATGAGTGCCCACATTTTCCACATCTCGTAAAATTTTAAACATTAACCGGTTTCCATATGTCTAATTCATCAAGCCAGAAAAAAATTCCTCAATCCATGTACGATCATAATGTACAATGTGCTAAAATTCTGTTAAAATTACCCGCACTAGGGGTAAGAATTTTTCGAGTGTATCTGATAAAGTCACAAAAACTTCCAACCGCTGCTCTTCCAAAACACACACAGATAAAATTAGTGATGGATTTCTGTAAGCTTACTAACTATAAATGCAATAAATTTAGGATAATTTTTTGGAATATACGACCTGAAGATACGATTGCTAAATGATTCGTGCAATATGTGTATGTATTAGAACATTTCCTGCTATTGTTTGTTCGGAATTAGATAACGCGGGAACAATATATGTCTCATAAAATGACAAGGCTCCCACGCTCCTGCTCACCCACCTTCCTCGAACCAACCACCCGACTGACTGGAAGCCTGCGAAAATGATTCGAATTCGAAAAGGAAGCGCCAACAATTTATAATTTAGGATCGTTCTAAGAACCCATTCTGAATGGAAGAGCGATCATCCAGGTTCTCGTCACGAAATTTCCTTTCCGTTTCTCATTTCTAGAATATTACGAGCTCTCGAATGAATGTGGGATGGTATTCTCGTGTTCCCAAAAGAAACAGGAGCATTTTCAGTTATCTGGGCTGATTCATCTGTCGAGAATATATTGAGTGAATAATGATGTTACGAAGTGGATGACAACATACTAATATTTTCTTAGTCGTGCATATTTTCCGGAGGTGTAATTTCTTTGTGCATGAATGTTCGTTATTCTTGCAAATATCATTGCAGAAAAGAACATTTAATAAAAAAACCGACAGATTTACTCGTTATGTTCGGCCATCGCTTTGTAAGCATTTCAATATGAGTTTTTAGGAAGAATTCGCACAAAAGATCAAGTTGACTTACCAAAATAATATAGAAATATCTTCCCACGGGTGTATTTCATAAAAGGATACATGCATTAGTATATTTCACACGGAACTACGCAGATATTCAGCACAGCATATTTCCTGTAGCGGTGAATGTTCGCCTACTATCATTATTTTCTCAAGCAGGCGAACATTTACCGCCATTTATCTTTTATGTTGGTGACTTAACTAACATTTTATATTTTTGCTGCCACATAGCTTTAATAAAAGATAAAATAAATCAAAAATTGAACTTAATCTCTTAAAGATGAAATTGATTTAAGTCAACGCAAATATCTTGATAATTTGACTCTTAAAATCGCTTCTTCGATTTTTCGAAAGCATCATAAAGTTGTTTGACAGATTATTCCATTTTCATATTTGAAAGATTAGTGAGGCTGCAATCTTTAAGAATTAAAGAGATATGGAAATAAGAGCAGTATGTTTTTAACTGGATGAATTCAACGCTAAATTTTTGAATTTGAATATGATGGTATTTCCGTTGCTTAAAATCGCTCTCTTCTACGAATGCAAATTGACTGTCAAACTAGATGAACTTATAGTTTTATTTCGTACTTCTTTGAGAGACCTTCATAGGTATCAAACATTAAGCAAACTAAAACAGCTGATTTATGGGTTATCACCAATTTCGAGTAATTGGACTTTCTATACAGTATCCACCAGTATCCAAAACAGACTCTCCGATCTTGCAGTGCAAAGAGTTCATTCGTTCAAATCGGAAATCTGCAACGCTTCAAGTTCATCAAATTCATGATAATTTTTTGGAACTTGAAATGTTTAACTAGCCATAAATATTTTTGTTAATAACCAATCACATAGATGTTATGTTAAAAGTGTTTTTTTTTAGCTGCCCATTTTCTCATGCTCTATTTACCATTTGTGATAACTAAGCCTATCGTAATGGACATTTCCCTAACATTCTCTAACTATAGTATGTTATGAATAGAATACTTACTGTTTGTCCAATGTACTCTAACTCAGCCACAATCCGTTCAAATGATATAAAGTTTAGGAGGATATTATTCATTATATAAAGTATTATACTACATTATTTTTCATCAAACAATAGTATTCGGCATAGCTGATGATATAATGAATGATTATTTCAAAAATTAATATCGTAATACAAAATGAACAGCTTACAGTCATAAAGCTTCCTCAGTTCAGCCATTGACATGTTGGCCGCTTCAGAACAATACAGCTGCGCCCAAGATATCTAAACTTTAATAATATAACTACGAGAGTCAAAAAAATTGCCCAGTCATTCGGTGTATCTCGCTCTCTACTGCCAACTATAAGACATCAAATCCGTGTTTTGAGGGAACCTAATGCTGACAGTGCCAACATCGTTCTAGGGAGAAGTTCAAAGTGCCTATTACCGAGAAGCAACTACTAATTTCTTAGATTGCTTATATCATCTGGGAAGTTGTCTAACAGCGTTTCAAAATCTCCCAATCTCCTTCAATCTTAATATGCGAAGGAGTTTACAGCATGGATTTCGTAGAAAATTAAAACGAAGCTACTTGATGTACTTAACGTACTTCAAGATCACCATTTCGTAGACCAATAGAGTAAGATCGGCTTGATCGTGCTATCGTTGTAACCATGCCAAAATTATATTCGATCACTTTTGAAATTGCTCCAAGTACATTGTAATCGGATATGATGCTTTTCCCATGACTCGAAAGAAGCAAATTAAGCAATGATTCCAATCTCCACATCGTGTGTTCTAGATTAATGCATGCTTCCTGTAAAAAAGTAGCATTTATTATAAACCCATTCCTAATTATCAAGGATGCATTTTCTAATTCCAATCCAATTTATGCATCACAACTTTTTCAACAAGGCAATTGCTGCACTGGGATAAAGCGAAATATGGTAATCTGAGATAAGACCTCTTGAACTTCGTATCCTCATCAAAAATGGCCTTCAGTTTATAAAAAAAACCAAATCTAACACTACACATCAATGTCGACTAATAGTGTGTAACTTTATTTAAAAACAAACTTTCAATGATGGATGTGCATGCTCTGCGATAAAGTGTTGAAGCTTTGGATCATGAAATGAGATTGCTTTTTCCACATGGCCAAAAATCCGCTCGTAGAGTCGTTTATCAAAAGAACGCCACTGTCTAAAAGTTATATAAAACTCTCAAAAACTAAAATTATACACCCAGTACGTAATTCAAGCATACAGTTTATTCAAACCGATAATTCCGAAAAACAACAACGAACTGGTAAAGGACTTACTAACTTTATGCTATCTGCATTAGTGTTTGCGTACGATATTATAACTTGAGTTGCCACAAAATCTTGAAGATCCAAATGAGTATTGCTAAGTAAAAGAGTTGACATTATCTCATTCAACAGTTCATCGAAATTCATATCAGACGTAATAGCATCCACTCCAATAACATCTACAGTCGACGATATAGCTTCAGAAAGCAAATGCCTAGCATACTTCTAAACAGAAATCTACAAGATCAAAGATAGGTTGTATTAAAAGCTGAAGAAAAGTATTTCGAACAAATGAGTCTCAAATATTTAATTGGACAACTTCAGTTACTAGATCCGCGGACGAAATTCACCGCGTGTCGGAAACGATGAAAACTTCTAAGATTGAATGACAAGAAACTGAATCTATACATGGTATAATCCAAAAAGTTTGGCTAAAATTGATCACGGATGACCATCAATGACTATGGAACTTGAAAGTTATAAACTTGAACAACTCACGTGTATTACTGCTTCCTCGACATCAAGCAATAATATAAATTCTTCATCGTGAAGTCCACCAACATAATAGCACATTGACTCAAGCACATAAGTATTTAATGCAAGTTTCGTTACCAAATGCTAAATACCGACTGTACTACTCAAAAAGCAAATAATTGCTATTGATGTTTTGATACGTGCAATCATGTCTTTTATTCAGAAATGATACAGAAGAAAAGCGAATCATCAGATGAGCTCGTACGAACTACTCACCTACCTTGATAGGATTCCTTTTTGCCAATGGCAAATTCTGGTGTAATGTTCCGTTGCAGTATTCTGACAAAGAATCTGTAAGTTATAAACAAAGATTTTTGGATAATGAAACAACTCTTCTCGATATGTTACTTGGCAATGTGACATCAAATTCCAAAAAATAT